ACCCAGATGCCTTATGTGAGATTCCGTCCGAAAGTCTGATCCCACGCGAGCCGGATTACATACCAGATAACTACTGTAGTTGCTCGGCATGTAGTCGCAATCACCTGCTTGCCATTGCATACCTTGGCGAACTTCATCGTTGTAGGTGCTGTCTCCGGTATAATAATAGTAGAGAAGCAAACTCATGAACAGCGCACTGCCTTCCCACCACTTGGTGGGGAATGCTCCAGGAATTTGGCCGGTCTCATTGCCGTGGTACCAGGTCATTGACCCGTATGCTGTTTTGCTTGCCGCAGCCTTTATAGATGCTATTGCGACAGACGATGGTCAGTGTTCTGTGTGACAGCTTATCCGAGAATGCCACAAGATATCCCCGAATGGTATGGAAAGGTAGACGGCAGGCTGGAGGACGCGATAGAATCAAAGAGCGGAAGGCATACATTCACTGCTGATATCAATATCAATGGCATGAGTAACATGGCCGAAGAGAGCGGCATTTAGAAGCAGCCCTCCATGGAGAGCACCATGGAGGAAGCGCATGGTGGAAGGCGGCGACTTCGGAAGGCAATGGAGAAGGAAACGAGCGGCAGGAGGGTTCGGAGAAGGGAGAAGGAAAAAAAAAAACGAAGGAAGGTTACGGCTGACCAGCGGGGATGGGAGCCAAATAGGCGAAACGATCGAGAGGGGAAGGGAAAGAAGGAAAAGGGTCGGAGAGAGAAGGATAAGTTAGAATTGAGACTGAGAACGGGACAGGGAAAGAGTGAAAGAAGGATGATGGCGTTTGGCCGCAGCGGCAGCAGTAAGTTGCCAGTAGCAAGCAAAGCATACCTAGGTAGGGACTGCAGCAGAAGCAGAAAATGGGGCCGGGGGGGAAAGAGAGGGGGGAGCGAGACCCAGCACTGGACTGCTCTGCTAGCCGCCAACCCGTCTCAGGTTCCAGATTTTGTTGTTTGATTATTTATTGTTACTCATTTTCTCAAGTCGGAAAGGAAAAAAGGAGATTACTAGCAGACCAGTGGCTAGCCATGGGGGGAGGAAGAGGGACAATCGGGCGGACCACGTCAGCTTCGCTCGTGCAATGATCATTGAGAACCGTCCGGTTATTCTTGGAACAAATTGGGGACAGTGTGCCCATGGATGATGAATGGTGCGACAAGATTGTTCTGTCTTGGATCCAGGGTCGACCTCAATCCAGGCTTTTTCCGTCTGGGTGCTTTCTTGTCTGGGACATGGCTTTGGTAGTTGTAACCAGTCTTCATTGCCTTTTTACACTTTCCTGCCCCTGGTGGACATCGGTATGCGGTCGGGTCCCAAGCTTTTTTGCCCAGCGTTGCCAATATTGCCAACCCCCGATCGGTCCGTGTCACAACACACAAGCATGAGGCCATGTGCCGCTGAAAAAAAGTAAGGGGTGAGACATGACATTTTAGTTGCTGGGCGGTAGATCTCGATCCTCCAGGCTGGCTGGCAGGCTGGCTTTCTATCCTTGACTCAGCATGTCAGCACAGGTCAATATCTTATGTGCATTGAGCGATCGTATGTGAACACGAAGAAAAATAGATACTATGTATTTCTCTTTCTTCCTGGAGGCCACACTCACAGAGTTTTGGCTTGATGACGGAGTAGCGAAGATCAACACGCACATCACAGCGATGGCTGCCACTGCTGCCTTGTCTGCTGAGCATTGGGGGCCAGCCACCACTGCGTCATTTCCGAAAGCTGAAGGCAGGAAAATAGATACGAATACGACCAGAACCCGATCAACAAGGTTAACAAAGAAAGAGGTAGCCAAGTCAGTATAAGACAACACTAAACACCGCTGCAAAAGATAATCTTAGTCGTGAAACCTGTTCTCACAGATGACAGAGAGTATGGAAGAAGGTGATTGAAGTTGGGTGGTTTCGTACACCCCCGCAAGGGCTCGCCATTGGCTCCACTGCCAACTATGTAGCGCTCTTACTACCTCGTCCATATAACAACTTCAGTTCGCGGAATTACACTCGAATGGTTAAATGGGTACGGTAAGCATGACTTGCGCATTTATTTCTAACAGGTCGCTTACAAGATGTGCAAACTATGGGTATCAGTAACAGCACTGCAGAGAGCCAGCCTGGTGGCATGAGAGGTTACAAGCAGTTTGGTGCGAAATGTCAAATTTGGTCCAAGGAAAAGATAAACGTCGCTTTCCTTCCATGGACATGAGTTAGATAAGCATCCAGCTCGTGCTCCTCGTCGATGACAAACGAGATCTCGTTGCCTTTCTCGTCGCGGTCAGTACCCTCGATTTTTGTGATGACCGCGTCAGGATATCTCGCTGCAACCAAATGCTGGAGTTCCGTCACCGATCTGGCGGTCAACTTATCCACCCAGGTCTTAGCGTCTCCATGCAATGGACTTTGGGGGTGGATGCGGAGATAGACGGGCACGTGCAAGAGGGGCGACCCCAGCATCGGATCCACATAGCCAAAGGCATTGCCCGAGTCAGCATGAGCAGCGGTGGCAAAGGACGGGTCGTTCGCAGCTTGCAACAGAGAAGGGTCAATCTGTATGTCGCCCAAATCGGTGTTCGACACTGATGCACTGGCCAGGGCCTGCGAAGCCAGGGTGCTGATGCCATTCGCGATGCCACTGCCGAAGGTAGCACTGACGCTGACTGGGGGGCTCTCCAGATCCGGGCTGGGCACATGAGAGTGCGTGACCGACGACTTCCGGGCGGGATGTCGCTTGGTTTGGTCATCGCGAAGTCGTTTCATGACGTCGCGACAAAGGACCTCGAGGGCCTTGAGCTTGGTCGCATGCTCGGGATCCGCAGCGCCGGGGGCGAGGATGCGCCGTAGAAGCTCCGAGTTCTGGATCCATTGTTCCTTCAGTTCCTTCCAATGTTCGTCGCCCGCTTCCAGCTTACTGGTGAAATGATCCGCCTTGAGAGTATTGTAGAATGCATTCCGAATCTGACGACTCTCCTCCGGGTTGATGCCCAGAGCATTTTTCGCCTCGGCAATGGTCATCCGGCGCTCCAGCGTGCGCATCCGCTTCGTCACATCGGTACAGACAACATCCAGCGCCAACGACTTCACGTCCAGCTGATTCTGATCGTGAAACACCTGCTGGAGGTGATATGACTCCTGGATCAACTTGTTCTTTGCCTCCTGCCATCGCTCGGGCCCAGCCACCGTCTTCTTGATGAAGCCTGCCTCCTCACAGATCTGTTGAAACTGGTCCCGAATCTGCCGATACATCACATTATCCAGGTTCAGGTACTTCTTACTCTCGTCAATCGTCGTCTCCGAGGGAAATCGGGGCGGCCCTGGAGGATCCGCTGGCATGCCTGCCCATCCGCGCGTGCGCCGCCGTCGTTTCCGATTCGCCCACCGCTCCGCACTTTCTGCCTTCAACTTGTCCATTCGCTCTTTGCGCTTGGCCAAAGCCTCAGCCGACAAGGCTGGAGAGGCGGTCGGTGAAGTCGACGCGTCGTCGGTGGTGGCGACAGTGGTGGTGGTGGCAGCGGGGACAGCGGGGACAGCGGGGACAAGAGGCTCCTCATGCTCTTCATACGCCAACCCAGACTTATACACCTCCTGCTGCAGCGCCAGGAGACCTTCATCCTCCGGTAATTGCGGCACGGGCGTCTGCATCATCCTCGACTGCGATTTCATGCCGTTGGGGACGCGAAGCAGCCAGCGGTTCTTGGCGCGCACGCGCATCAGCTCCCGCTCCTTGATCTCGAACCCTTCCTCGTTGAGCATGCGCAGCATGTCTCGTTGGCTGGTGTTCCGCTCCCAGAGCTGTTTGACGCGCGCCACGAGTTCGACATTCTTGTGTGCTGGATTCTGTTTGGACGGGAAACCCCATCGCTTGAATTGGGTTTGGAACGCTCGTTTACTGGGGGAGAAACAATTGGCTGTCAGTGAGACAAAAACGAGAGGAGAGAGAGAGAGAGAGAGAGAGAGCGGATCGGCGCGGGGAGACGGGTCGAGATTTCGGAAATCAAGGGTTCAATGATTAGATACACGAATGTCAAAAAGACTCACTCACCTCGGTGCAAATTGATAGACACTCTTCATATATTCCATGATCTCCTCGAGCGCCTTCTTGTCCTTAATATACATCTGAAAGCAGATTTCCCGCTTTCCCTCCCAATCGTACACCATCCTGACAAAGAAAAGCCGCGCGGCGGCGGCGAAAGCGGCACCTTCTCTTTTTCCCTCCGCAGGGGGAAGACGGCCGAATGCCCCAGGGGTGAGTGACACACCCAACGAAAGGGAAGGGAGGGAGGAAAGGCGAGGAACGCCTTCTCGCTCTCGACAAAAGAGAGAGTGAACGAGCTGGTGAGTGGAGTACGGGTTGTATAGATCGCCAAACAGACGTCGGTTGTCCTTGTTGTACCCCGTAGTGCGTCTGGCCCTGGAACAGTGTCCGGTGAGCTTTCTGGACAACCGTAGTAGGTTTCGCGTTGGCAGGTGGCTTTCGAAGGGGGTGAGACGGAAGTGTGTGGAATACGGAGAGTCATTGACACCAGGAGTGCGAGCTGTTCAGTGGGTCATGAGTAAAGCCCACGTGACTGGCACGTCATCATCGCCGGCCCACCTTTTCTGCCGGCCACGAGTTCCCCAGCTTCGGCAGGCGGTAATCAATTGAACAGTTTTCCCGGCTACTTTTTTCCCCTTGTACACCTGTAAAATCGTGCCGCGAGGTCGCGAGGTTCCTTAGTTTCTGCCACCTCTGGCGGTGACCTACGCGGTGAGGAGCGCTCATTCTGCCCATAAGCAAAGGCGGTACGATGTTGAACAGTTTTCCAGATAACTTTTTTCCCTCTGTATACCTAGTGCAGAACGAATTCTCGTTACGAGGTTACTTAGTTTCTGCCATATGGGCGGTGTCCAATGCGGTGAGAGTCACTACCACACCACACCCGGTCCTCCCTCCCGCCCTCCCACCCCCAAAAAAACCGGGGCCCGCCGATCCTCCGATTGCGGCGGTTTCTCTATCGGCCGTTTATAATGAGCTCGAGTCACACTTAAACTCTCCCTGATTCTTGCACCACCACCTGCCTACCAAAAATTCCGCAATTCCACCATGGCTGCTGCTGCTAGAACCCTTCGCATTGGTACGTTAGTCTGATTCTGTGATGTTTGTGCATCGCGAGAGCATCCAATTGATATCCTCACTCCATCTATACAGGTCTCATCCCCGGAGACGGTATCGGACGGGAGGTCATCCCGGTGAGTCACTTTTCCCAGTAATGGTTACAATTGCTACTCAGCCACGACACCCCTAAACAAAAAGAAACTGACAACAAGCTCCAAACAGGCCGGTCGCCGCGTTCTGGAGGCTCTCCCCTCCTCGCTGAACCTGAACTTCAGCTTCGTCGATCTGGATGCCGGATTCGACACCTTCAAGCGGACCGGTACCGCTCTGCCGGACAAGACGGTCGAGACCCTGAAGAAGGAGTGTGATGGCGCTCTGTTCGGAGCTGTGAGGTAGGTTCCTGGCCCTGCCCCTTGATCCCCTAACTTCGCCTACCATCGCCACCATACTAACCCAAGCCACGAAATACAGCTCCCCCAGCACCAAGGTCGCCGGGTACAGCTCACCCATCGTCGCGCTCCGCAAGAAGCTCGACCTGTACGCCAACGTGCGGCCCGTCAAGACCACAGCCGGGGGCAGCCACAACGGCAAGCCGATCGACCTGGTGATCGTGCGCGAGAACACGGAGGACCTGTACGTGAAGGAGGAGACGACGCGCGACACGGCGGAGGGCAAGGTGGCCGAGGCGATCAAGCGGATTTCCGAGCGGGCGAGCTTCCGCATCGCCAGCATCGCGGGCGAGATCGCGCTGCGGCGCCAGAAGATCCGCACCGCGGGCCCCCCGGGACTGTCCACGACCGCCCGCACCAGCCCGATGGTGACGATCACGCACAAGTCGAACGTGCTCTCGCAGACGGACGGGCTGTTCCGCGAGACGGCGCGGCGCGCCCTGGCCGCGGACCGGTTCGCCGGCAGCGTCGAGGTCGAGGAGCAGATCGTCGACTCGATGGTCTACAAGCTCTTCCGCCAGCCCGAGTACTACGATGTCATCGTCGCGCCCAACCTGTACGGCGACATCCTGTCCGACGGCGCCGCCGCCCTCGTCGGCAGTCTGGGCTTGGTGCCTAGCGCCAACGTGGGCGATGGCTTCGCCATCGGCGAGCCCTGCCACGGTAGCGCCCCCGACATCGAGGGCAAGGGCGTCGCCAATCCCATCGCCACCCTCCGCAGTGTCGCCCTGATGCTCGAGTTCCTCGGCGAGGAGGCCGCCGCCGCCAAGATCTACGCCGCCGTCGACGCCAACCTCGATGAGGGCAGGTTCCTCTCCCCCGATATGGGCGGGAAGGCGACCACCCAGCAGGTTCTGGATGATGTCCTCAAGCGTATGTAAGAGGGTAACGCTGCGGTTTGGTGTATATTAGCGAGAGGTAGGGATTGGGTAGAAGTACACAAAAAGTAGGAACAATTGCGGTTTTGTATGCCTGATATAGCCGGATTGGGGAAAAGAATTGATGTTCATGCTGTTAGCGACTCGTCTGTGTGGTGTACAGTAACTTAGGAGCTTGAAGTAGTTAACGGCGCCTGAACAGATATTGTGTCTGGTATTAGCATTCGGTCCGTCCACACTCAGGAGGTTGACGTCGCACAACCTACGTAGTGCATGTTCGTCAACGCCTGTCCACATTTCAACAAACTCGGTAGCAAATTGGCCACATTCCTTGATTTCAGTATATATAAGAGTTGGGTTGTGTATCCAGAGCCCAAAGGCTTGCTGCCCAAGACCATAACATCTGATATGACATTCAGACTGCAACCACCTCGGCCCTGATCCGTACTTCAGCCTGGATCTTCTGTACTGTACCAATGAGTAGCCGCGTGCCAAAGCCAAATCTTATAAGTGCAGTACCATCGCAAGCCCATGCGTAAATCAATAAATGCAAAACATACAACTCATATCTCATCTTTCTCGTGTTCTCGGTCAGAGCAAAAATATCCAAAATGCCCCCGAAAAGCGTATATACACCGAGGTCAACTATACAGACATCGAGACAATCGACTACCAGAAAGAAAATCGTCGTCAAACAACGGAGAATCAAACCAAAATATCAGCTCAATCACTCCAACCGGATCCGCCTCTGATTCCACCGTTCCCGCGCCCGCTCAAACAGCGTCGGCAACTCATACCCCCAATGGCAGAGCATGCCGGCCACGAAGCCGACGGCATCGTTCTTAAACCCGACCAACAACCCCACGGTGACCATCATGACGGTCCACCTGCGCTTCCGCTCCCAGTCGCTCAGCATCGGGCCGATCTCCTGCGCGCCGTCGCCGGCGAACCCGTGGCTTGCCTTGCGGATATCCCGCGCCCCGGTGGTGTTCAGCGACTCGCCCACGCTGACCAGTTCCAGGCCGGCGGCGATGACCATCACGCCAAGCAGGGCGGTGGGGAAGCGCTTCAGCAGGCCGACGAGGGACTCACCGAAGAAGACGCCAATGATCAGCTTGAGAGCCCCCAGGATGATGACGCTGGCGCCGGACCGGGCGCCAAAGCGGTACTGGGCCGCCAGACCGCCGGAGCCGTGGCAGACGGGCATTGCGCCGAACCAGCATCCGATGAGGTTCATGCCAGCCACGCTGAGGCCAACGGAGGTGATGGAGGGGGTCTCCAGGGTTGGGAGGAGGTCCCCAGCCAGGTGAACAACGGCGACGACGGAGTTCAAGGTCGTCAGGGGGATCTGGCCGACACCCGCGTCTAGAGCGCCGATGCGCCATTCGTGGGCGGATGGGATGACGGTATGGGGGTGCCAGAAGATGAGAGAGGGGAGGTCGGAGGCCAGCGCACTGCCGATGACTGCAAACGAGAGCCCTAGGATGAAGACGAGCAGGGCGTAGGGCACGTTGCGGTAGACGTTGGTGATGATCAGGAACAGGAAGGCGGCCACGGCCCAGATGCGGTTGTCAGTCCAGGACGGGTATAGCCATCCGAGGGACGAGAGAATCGAACCCCCTGACGCGATGATCAAGGAAAGACCGGCTCCAACTTGAATGCCTTTGATGACGGGAATGGGGATGGCATTGGCGAACCAGTTCAGGAGTCCGGTTATACTGAAGAGGAAGACGCAAGCCCCGACAAAAATACCGGCGGCGGCGATGGCTCCGTTGGTGAAAGTGCGAGCAATGGCCACGGCAGCGATGGCTTTCATGGGCTGTACGGGTAATGGAATCCCGAAGAAGAGGCCTGTTAGAATGTTAAACAGACCGGAGAAGATGAGAGTGCTCGAAAGAGAGACAGTGCCATTGACAGCGAGGGCGATGGCAATAGGCAGGAAAGTGCCCAGATCGCCCAGAGAGCCGGAGACCTCCGACACATAGTGATGTCGAAAGGTGTGGAAATTGTGCGAGGTCACTCGACGGAGATTCATGGTGAGAGAGAATGGGGAAGGAAGTATACGGAGAGATACATCCAGAGGGGTGGGTGAGGAAGTACTCGGTGGCAGTAAAAGAGAGGAGGACAGAGAGAAAAGAAGCAGGGCAGGGAAGCTGAGACAATGAGGAGATGATGATGGAACCGATGGAACCTCGTATCGGGTGAAGAGGGAGGCGATAAGCTGGGGTGGGATTGTTTAGATTGTTTTAGGATTGGCTTCCATTCCCCGCACGGCACAAGAAGGAGTGAACTTAGACTACCTCCCAGTACTGTATACTGTATACTGTATACTGTATACTGTATAGATCAGTTCCAATCTGCTGTCAACTTAATTCCTAACTTAATCCGTTTATCTGGTTTATCTGCGGAAAAAGCAACCCCACAGACAGAAAGACAACACAACACAACACAAACAGGGAAATCCAGGGAAACAAACAACGCTGACACAAACCGGAACCACTTCCGCCTGTCATCCGTCGGCATTCTCATCCGGTCCACTCAGGTTAACTTATAACTTAGTATTCTCCGATATACCAAGCCAACTCATTATATACAATCTTCACGATACTCTTTTATCTGTATACTTCCCATTAACACCACCTCATGTACATTCGAAGTAGATAGGCAGCAGTAGGAGACAACCCCCCCCCCCACAACCACGCAGCAATGTAATCTCCTCCTCCTCCTCCCCCTCCATCCCTTACCGCAAACCCCCTTCCCCCCGCAAAAATCCCTCATCCCTCACAAAAACTTCCCACTCGAAAACCGACTCCCAAAATCCGCCGCCTTACTCATCATCTCCCGCCTCTGCGCATGGGAAATCTTCCCCGCGAGCCCCATATCCTTCTCGCGATCAAACGCCCGCTTACTCGGATCATCCTCCTCCTCCTTGTGGGCCTTCTTATGCTTTTCGCGCGCCGCCGCGTCCTCCCTCCGCTTCTCCTCATTATACCGCTGAATCTTCTCTTGCATTGCCTTGGACGGCTGAGTCTGCTTGGCCCCTGCGCCGCCACCACCACCACCACCAGCCCCCGAATCATGATTCCGCGGCGCCTGCACGCCCAGCACCTCGTCCTGGAGCCGCTTCATTTTCTGATCCGGGGTCTCCGTCCACGTTACATCGACGCCACCGCCAGAGGCGCTGGCGTTGCCGGCGCGGGGCCCGGACTGGAAGCGCCGGTTTTTCAGGCGGGTGGGGTCGACGCGTGCGGTGCGGTCGGAGGGTTCGAGGGGTTCGAGCATCCAGGCGTCGCGTGTGGGTTGTGTTGGTTTTGTGGTGGAGGTGGAGGTGGAGGTGGAGGTGGATGGTGGGGGTTGGGTGGGTTGTGCGCTGCCGGCTGGTGGGGGGAGGGTTGGGCCGAAGTCGTCGTCGTCGTCATCCGAGCTGTCGCTGTCGCTGTTGTTGTCGGTGGCAGTAGCGCTGGGTTTGTGGGTGTTGTTGTCGTCGTCGTCGCTGGGGCTGGTTTGCGCCGGTGGAGGAAGGGAGGGGCCGATGACTCGGCGGCGTTTGCTGGATGCGTCTTCCGGCTCGACGGGCGCGGGGCTGGGGCCAACGGTAGGGCCAACGGTAGGGCCGGCGTATTTGCGCTTCTCTGGTTGTTGGTCCATTGTTGTTCGAATTTCGGATGAGTTTGTTTCGAGGTGAGGTGAGGCTGTCTTGCGAAAGACAGCGTAAAGAATGTGTCTCTTGGGAATTGCAAGTCCTGCTTGCGCGGTGAGCCTGGGGGCTTCGATAAAGATGCTATGTGAGGTAGTAAGGTAAGATTGTAGGAACTCAAGATTGGGCGCTGTAGCAAAGGTTGAAGTTGAAGTTGAAGTTGAATGCGACGAGGCGTCCCGTGCAAACCAGGCAAAGCGTCAAAGTGGGATCATGTGATCTGATACTGCACGCCAATCTCGGTCTCGTCTTATCGATAACCATTTCCCCTGCCCATTTAATCGCCCTCGATAAGATGCGAGCGACAATAGCTAGAGTACTCATTATCCTCATCATGGAAAGTCAGTCATTCCAGTCTTACAATCCCGACGTTCTAACCTACATAAGCACAAGATCTACAACCCCACATGATCTGAGGAACAAAATTCCAGTCATAAGATTAATTTAACCCGCTTTTTGCCCCAAATTTTGAATACTCAAACAGCCCAAGAACCCGAAAAGCCCCACACGGATATATGTACATAACAAAAGGTAGACACAGACATACAAACAAACCAACAACAACAGCATAGGCGATTACGTGATCGGACTATTTATTGCTTGTTGGCCCGCTGCGCCAACAGGTTCAACGCACTACCAGCCAGGATGAACCCGCACTGGTCGGGGCTGAGAGTGTGGCGGACGGGGATGACGAGCTGCTCACCCGAGCGCTTGGTGACGTGCAGCTGGATGGAGCCCTGACCACCGGCCTGAAGGACATCGTACAGGCCCTCGGTGGCGACCTGATCGCAGGCATCGATCTTGTCGTAGTCGGCCGGTTTCTCGAAGGTCAAGGGGACGACACCCTGCTTCTTGAGGTTGGTCTCGTGGATACGGGCGAAGCTCTTGGAGACGATGATGCGGCCGCCCAGGTAGCGGGGCTGCAGGGCGGCGTGCTCGCGGGCACTGCCCTCACCGTAGTTCTCTTCGGCGACGACCAGCCACTCGGTGCCCTGGGACTTCCAGTGGGCAGCCAGATCGGGGATCGAGTACTGCTTGCCGGCCTCGTCGTAGGCCACGTTGGTCTCGCCGGTGGCGGCGTTGACGGCGCCAATCAGTGTGTTCGCGGAGATGTTGGGCAGGTGACCCTTGTACTTCAACCACGGGCCGGCCGCGGAGATGGTATCGGTGGTGCACTGGCCCTTGACCTTGTAGAGGACCTTCAGACCAGAGAGCTCGCCCTTGGGGAAGGGAGCGAAGGGCTCCAGCAGCGCCAGACGGTCGGAGGTCGGGGAGACGATCACCTCACAAGAAGCGTCAGGAACAGCAGCGGTGGGCTGGAAGTCAGGGTTGCCGTCGGCAAATCCCTGGCCGGGGAGGGCCTGGCCCGTAGGAGGCTGGAAGCGGAACTCCTCGCCACTGGGGGTCTTGATGCTGTCCGTCATGGGGTTGAAGGTCGTGCTGCCGGAGTAGACCATAGCAGTGACCAGCTCGGGGGAAGCCAAGAAGTTCATGGTCCGGCGGTTACCGTCATTACGGCCGGGGAAGTTGCGGTTGTACGAGGTCAGGATGGCATTGTCCTCGCCCTTGGGGACGCCGTCCGTGCGCTTCCACTGACCAATGCAAGGTCCGCATGCGTTAGCCAACACGGTACCTCCCGCCTGCGAGAAGGTCGACAGCGTCTGGTCACGATCCAGAGTAGCCCGAATCTGCTCGCTACCAGGCGTGATGAAGAAGTCGGCTTTGGGCTTGAGGCCGGCCGCGGTGGCCTGTTTGACCAAATGCTCAGCACGGGTCATATCCTCGTAGGAGCTGTTGGTGCAGCTGCCAATCAGACCGGCTCCCAAGGTCTGGGGCCAGCTCTTCTCACGGACGGTATCCGCGAAAGCAGACACGGGAACCGAGAGGTCCGGAGTGAAGGGACCGTTGATGTGAGGCTCCAGGGTGGACAAATCGATGGTGATTAACTGGTCGTACTGGGAACCGTTGTCAGCCCGCAGGAGGTTCTGGGGTCCAGAGGCGGCAATCTCAGCGGCAGCCTTGGCCACATCGCCACGGTGAGTAGCCTGAAGGTAAGGAATGTGGTTGGGAGAGAAGGGGAAGACGGAGGTGGTCGCGCCAACCTCAGCACCCATGTTACAGATGGTAGCCATGCCCGTGCAGCTCAGAGTCTCCACACCGGGGCCGTGGTACTCGATGATGAATCCGGTTCCACCACGAACCGTCAGCTTGCCAGCCAAGTGAAGGATGACGTCCTTGGGAGAGGCCCAGCCGTTCAGCTTGCCCTCCAGACGCACACCCAAAATGCGAGGCGCCTTCAACTCCCATGGCGCATCGACGAGAGCGTCAACGGCATCCGCACCACCAACACCAATGGCAATGGCACCAAGACCACCAGCATTGGGGGTGTGACTGTCCGTGCCCAGCATCATCAGACCAGGAGCCGAGTAGTTCTCGAGCACGCTCTGGTGAATGATACCAGCACCGGGAGGCCAGAACTCGATACCATATCGCTTAGCAGCGCTCTCCAGGAAGTCGAACACCTCGCTGTTTCCCTGAATCGAGGCCGGCAGATCGACGTCGGCACCGCGCTCACCCACAATCATGTGGTCGCAGTGGATACTGGCAGGGACCGCAGTCGAGGGCAAGCCGCAGGACATGAACTGCAGCAGAGCCATCTGCGCAGAGGCGTCCTGCATCGCCACACGGTCAGGCTTCAACTTCAAGTTGGCCTTGCCGCGGATGTCCCGTCCATTGTTGGTGCCGGTCAACAGCGACTCCTCAGGGTTGTCCAAGTGGGCGTAGAGGATCTTTTCGGCCAACGTGAGAGATCGCGAAGAACCCAAGACTCGACGGACTTGTTCCAGATTCCGCAGAATCTTGGGGTAGGGGGGCATGCGCGAGGACGCAGGGGTCGAAGAGGCCTCGGTGGCCAGACCACGGCGAGCGAATAGTCTTTGCGGGGAGAGGCACTTCGGGGCCAACTGGAAAGTGGAGAGAGTAGTGTGTCAGTTCCAATCTATCTGTCGCTTGAGGATAAAGAAGGAGGATCCAAGAGTGCACCACATACCCTCTGAGAGGCGGAGGCCCGCTGCCAAACAAGCTGCCGCACCATTGTTCTTTGCAGGAGAATACTGTGAAGAACAATTGCACAAAGAAGGAAAAGAAAAAGGTAGATAAATGACTTGAGGCGAAGGAGTCATTCTTATTCTCGACCTTTAGTCGCCCTTTGATTATCCTTGCCCTGATTGGCTCCCGCCACCGCCGATGCCGGGAGATCGACTCCAGACAGATACGATACCGGAGCTGTATTGTCATTTTCCCACTTTGAGTAAGGACGGAGGATCCCGACGCAGGCCAATCTCTGAGTCATCCAGCCCCCTGTGTATCGGGCGGTATCAACGCTATACCCTCCATACAAATTTATACTTCAAGGTTTAACAACATTTGCAAGTGAAGTCGTGGAGACCTGAACAGCCGGGGGTATATACTCTGATAGTATCTAGTAGATCTATACAC